ACTTGGTTAAGTTTATTCCTATGTATATTATTATTTTTGGTTCAATTGTAAATGTTATTATTTTATTAATTTCTCTTTCTTCTCCTTTAGTTTAGTGTATAGAATGCAACTGATTTCTGTATATTGGTTTTTATCCTACAATATTACTGAATTTATCAGTTCTAGAAGATTTTTGGTAGAGTCTTTAGGGTTTTCTATATATAGTATCATGTCATCAGCAAATAGTGAAAGTTTTACTTCTTCCTTACCAATTTGGATGCCTTTTATTTCTTCTGTTGTCCAATTGCTGTGGCTGAAACTTTTAGTACTATCAAGTGAAAGTGATCAGAATGGGCATCCTTGTCTTTTTCCCGATCTTGGGAGAAAAAAAAAATCTCTCAATTTTTCCCCATTGAGTATGATGTTAGTTTTTTATACATGGCCCTTACTATGTTGAGGTATGTTCCCTCAAAACCTACTTTGTTGAGGGTGTTTATCATGAATGGATGTTGTAATTTGTCAAATTCTTTTTCTGCATTTATTGAAATGATCGTATGGTTTTATTCTTTCTCTTGATGTAATCTATCACATTAATTGATTTGTGAAAATGGAAGCGCCCTTGTCTCCCAGGAATATATGCCACTTGATTTTGGTGAATGATTTTTTTTTAATGTGTTACTAAATTTGATTTGCTAATATTTTGTTGAGGAATTTTGTATCTATGTTCATTGGAGATACTGGCTTGTAGTTCTCTTTTTCTGTGATCTCTTTTTCTGGTGTTGCTATCAGGGTAATGCTGGCTTCATAGAATGAATTTGGAAGTTTTCTTTTCTCTTCTATTATTTGGAATTGTTTGAAAAGAATAGGTAGTAAGACATCTTTAAATGTTTGGTAGTATTAAGGGCATCTGGGTCGCCCAATCTGTTGAGCATCCAGCTTTGGCTCAGGTCATGATCTAGCAGTTAGTGAGTTTAAACACTAGTTTGAGCCTACTTCGGATCCCGTGTCTCCCTCTCTCTCTGCCCCTCCCCAACTCATGCTCTGTCTCTCAGAAATGTTTGGTAGAATTCACTTGTGAAGATCCTGGACTTTTATTTGTTGGGAGTTTTTTTGTGTACAGATTCAATTTCATGGCTGAAATTCAGTCTGTTCAAATTTTCTATTTCCTCTTCTGTTAATTTTGGTAGCTTATATATTTCTAGGGATTAATCCATTTCTTCTAGGTGTCCAATTCTGGGACATATAATTTTTCATAATATTCTTCTATAATCCTTTGTATTTCTGTGGTGTCAATTGATATATCTCTTCTCTTTCATTTCTGATTTTGTTCATTGAGCCCTCTCTCTCTGTTTCTCTGTCTCTCTGTCTCTCCACTCATTTTGCAAGTCTAGTGAGTATCTTTATGACCATAACTTTAAATTCCTTTTTAGACACACTACCTATCTCTCTTTTGTTTAACTTTCTTGCTATAATTTTGTCCTTTTCTTTCATTTAGTACACATTCCTCTTTCTCTTCATTTTATCCAACTCTTTGTGTCCTTTCTCTGTGTTAGCTGTGTCTTCAGCTGTTGAAAGTAGTGGCCTTATGAAGAGATTGTGTAGTGCCCTGCAGTGTAATGTCTCTTGTTCCTAGAACCTAGTGCTTCAGGGGCATCTCCTATGTGTGTTACATGTGTACTACTATTGTGGCTAAGCCACTTTTGCCTTTAGTTAGTCATCTGTGATAGATTTTTGCCTGTTTGGGGCAGGGTTTGGTCCATGTGTTATTAGTGGGCCACTCTAGGGCTGCCTTGGGCTTGAGTTGATTCAGACCAGGCCTTTGTCAGAGTTATGGTAGCACTGGAATGCTGGACACATTTCCTTTGTTGTTCCCTGAAGCTTTTGTGGTAGGTGTGGCCTACAGTTAGACCGGATGTCTCCCCACAGCCCACTGCCATGTGCACAGTTGAGTGGTATATGTGCTTACCATTCCCACTCCTCAGGGCAGAAGTCATTCTGGATCATGTTGGTCCTTGTTGGGGCTGCTTGCATGATTCCAGATTTGTGCTACCACTTTGGATGGACTCTGGCCAAGGGCATGTTGGAGAGGATAGCAGGTCTGCAGAAGTGGGGCTTCTGGTGTGTTAGCAAGGTTTGTGCAGACCTCCTGTGGGAGGCCACATGGAGCCCAGCCTGGCTGCAGGGAGTATGTCCACAGGGGAAGCTGGGTGCAGGGTACGCCATTTGCAATTTAGATCGGGAATATTGGCCCTCTTCTGGTTTCTGAAGATGTCCACGTGTCTAAGCTAGGCAGACAAGGAGGGAAGTAGCATTCACTAGCTCTCTTGCTGCTGGAGAAGTTTCCCAAGATCCCTGCCCCTCTAGTACAAGCTCTGAGATTAGTAAATAGATCTCCCTGCTATGTACTCCAGGTGATTTTCAAACTGTTGCTTCTACGCTATATCTCTCTTCAGGACTCTTTGTGTTGCTGCCTCTTTAAGGGTAGGGACTCAGTTTCCTAATACCCTCCTAGCTCTCCCAGAGCCATGCCCACTGACTTTTAAGGTTCTAAGTGTTAAGCCCCACTGATTGTAAGAACTTGTGAAGTTATGTCCATCTAATTTTCAAAGCCAAATATTAAGGGGATTTGCCTTTCCTGTGCATGTCCCCCATGTCTGGGTGCCCACTGTGAGTGTCTTGTTTTTTCCCCTCTCCATGCCCATGGCCTCCTCCCCTTCAAGGATAGTCCTGTGGGTCTCTTTAGTGCCTGACCACATCTCCACCCTTCCTACCCTCTTGATGTGGGTAATCTCTACATTAGCTGTGGAAAAGCTGTTCCGCCAATCTTTGGGTCATTCTCTGGGTTATTTACATTGATATGTTATGTATGTCTCTGGTGTTATGTAGTTGTATCCATGGAACAAGGTAAGCTTAAGGTCCTCCTATCTGCTATCTTTCCCTGAAGTGGCATTCCACACATTTTAAAATATATATTTTCATTTTTACTTAGTTCAAAATATTTTATAATTTCTTTTTGATTTCCTGCTTGACTCATAGGTTATTGGGAATTGTGTTATACTTCCAAATATTTGTGAGATATCTTTACAAAATTCATATCTAGTTTAACACCATCTTGGTCAGAAAATTATGTAGTGTCTCTCTTTCCTGTTAATAGTTATTCTTTTATTCATTTATTTAAAAAATTTTTTAATGTTTATTTATTTTTGAGAGAGAGAAATAGAGACAGAGAGAGACAGAGTATGAGCAGGGGAAGGGTAGAAAGAGAGGGAGACACAGAACCTGAAGCAGGCTCCAGGCTCCCAGCTGTCAGCACAAAGCCCAACATGGGGCCTGAACCCACGATCTGTGGTCCTCCATCATGACCTGAGCTGAAGTTGGATGGTTAACCGAGTGAGCTACCAGGTGCCCCATCTCTTTTTCTGGCAAAAGTTTTTAAAAATGTTTTTAAGGGGCACCTGGGTGGCTCAGTCGGTTGAGCGTCCGACTTTGGCTCAGGTCATGATCTCATGGTTCGTGGGTTCGAGCCCGGCATCGGGCTCTGTGCTGACTGCCAGCTCGGAGCCTGGAGCCTGTTTCGGATTTTGTGTCTCCCTCTCTCTCTGACCCTCCCCGGCTCATGCTGTCTCTCTCTCTCTCAGAAATAAATAAAACATTTAAAAAAATGTTTTTAAGTTTATTAGTTATTTTGAGAGAGAGAGAGAGAGAATGTAATTGGGAGAGGGGTAGAGAGAGAGAGAGGGACAGAGAGAATACCAAGCAGGCTCCTTTCTGTGAGCACAGAGCCTGATGTGGGGCTTGATCTCACAGACCATGAGATCATTACCTGAGCTGAAACCAAGAGTTGGACGCTTAACTGACTGAGCCACCCAGGTGCCCCTCCTGGTAGTATTTATAAAATGCTTCATCTGATATGACCACTCCAGGGGTGCCTGGGTGGCTCAGTCGGTTAAGCCTCCGACTTTGGCTCAGGTCATGATCTCACAGTCGGTGGGTTCGAGCCCTGCATTAGGCTCTGTGTTGACTGCCAGCTCAGAGCCTGAAGCCTGTTTCAGATTCTGTATCTCCCCCTCACCCTCCTCTGCTCACACTGTCTCTCTCTCTGTCTCTCAGAAATAAATAAAACATTAAAAATTTTTGATATGACCACTCCAGATTAATTTTTATTAATATTTGTATGCTATATAGTTTTTCATATTTCTTATATGTACATATGTATATGCATATAAACATGTATACACACATATGTATCTTTATGTTAACATGAAGTTAGTTTAGAAAAGACATAGTTGGGTCTAGGTTTTTCATCCAACTTAGTAATTTCTTTCTTTCAATTGATTTTAAACCATTTGCATGCAATTAAATTATTGGTGCATTTGAATTAAAATTTACTATCTTGTTCGTTGTTTTCTATTGGTATCTGTTTTCAGTTTCTTCTATTTTTCTTTTGCTTTTTACTGCTTTCATTTAAATTGAATATTTTCATTATTTCATTTTTTCCTCCACTATTGGCTTCTCTTTTATATTTTCTGTTATTTGCTTGTTTTTAGCTGTTAACCTATGCTTAAAATGTATATACTTAGTTAATCATGGTATACCTTTAAATACTGTTATATCTCTTCATGTGTAGTATAAGAACCTTGCATGGTACATTTCCAATCCCTGCCTCTGCTCCTTAATGCTATTATTGTCATAAATGTTACTTTTGAATAAACTATAAATACATAACTCTTATATTTTTGCTCTAGACTAAGGTAATCTCTGTTGTGCTTTGGTTTAGACCCAGAATTCAGCCGATTTGAGGTCCCTAGGTTCAGGGATGTGATTTTCTGTGAGTTTGCCTCTTCTCTAATGATAGAAAATCTCTAATGGTCTGAGCCTCGGATAGTAGTTCCTACCTTTGTCTAGTTGTATAGAGGATATTTTTTATTCCCTTCCTCTAGTTTCTATGGGTCCTTACCTATTCCCTGAGGGTGAAAAGGTTTTCTGTCTTACCTTCAGTAAGAAGGTACCTTCTGTCTTACCTTTTCACAGGGGAGTCGGGGTAATAGATCTGAGTGGAGTTTCTGCCATTCCCACTGCTGTAACTGCTCCCCTTCTTCAGGCCTGCAGCACTGAAGGAAGCTTTAATTGGTTTCTTGTTCTGTCATAAATCTTTCTTGTGAGCATATACTAAGGTCCATACAGAAAAACTTTTGACTGGTACATGTTCTACCTGCCTCTGAAATTCCCCGTAATTTCATAATGTTATAGTAGCCCTCATTAAACTTTTAGAAATTTGTTTTAAAAAGTTTAGCTTCTATAGTGCCCTCATCTTCTTTTCACGCTCTGCCCCGGGTAAGCCAGTGTTTGAGTCTGTATTTCTCTTTGGTGGGGCTTGTATGCTCTTGCATTTCATGCTTTTGATTTCCTTGTGATCTCAGATTTTTGATGAGGTTAAAACAATTACGACTTTGAGAATTTTTCTTTGAGCTTTTTCTTGTTACTAAAGTGGGGGTGATGTTCTTTTCAGATTTCTGCATCTTAAGCAGAAGCTAAGGATAGCTTTCTGGGTTTTTTTTTAACTTCAGTTTTGTCTGGATTTATTATAAATTCCTTTTGTTCAATAAGCTCTGCTTGGCTGAGAAGGCAATCACCAATCAGTAGTGTACATTATGCCCACCATGTAAAAATCTCGACAACTCACATCAAATTACAACTATAGAAGTGACCTTCTAAAACATTAATTTGATGTCACCATATAAAGATATTGTATGTAAAGTTTGTAACTAGTCTATAATATAAACTAGTCTATAATGTCTCTCCATAACTTATTCTATGAAGGAATCATTGATTTGTGTTGAGTAACTCCTTTACAAAAATTATCTATAAACTGCAAGTTTATAAGACATGAAAAGGATATTCAATCCCCAATAGATTATCAAACAATATAGGTTCATTAATTCAAATATTCAATAAATATTTGTTAACTGTCTGACAGGTACTAAGCACTAAAGATTCACAGTGAAGAATAAAATACACATTTGTTATCTTTATGATTTTTAAATAATTAAACAAAGTGTATCAAAATGTGTTACCTAATATAGACAAAAAGGCAAAGTGATCAAAAATTATTAAAATAGGAGGAAAGCAAAGGAGTGGAGGATGCTCTGTATTTGGGTTTAAGGAAGTTCTCTCTGAATAAGAAATACCTACCCCATGTTTTTAAAGACCTTAAAAAAAGAAAAGAAATGATATTCTAACAGAACGTGAGATGAACCTTAAGATAGAGAAAAACACTGTGTTTTTGAGGATGTGGGAAAAGGTCACTGTAGCTGATACTAAGGGAGACATGAGGCTAGTATGAGAATTTGAGGCTGCAGAGATGGGCAGGCAGGGCCATATCCTTGGGGTGATGGAGGCTATGGTGAAAACGTAGACTTTATTCTATGTGCAATGTAAAGCTGTTTTCTCATTTCAGTCAATGGCAGTTGTAGTTTTCCAGTTGTAGGGACTCTTATGTTTTGTTTACTTGCATATTCTGAGTGCCAAAAATGGTACACAAGAAGTTTAATATATATTTGCAGATAAAAAAAAAAAAGAAAATGAAAAAAGAATTTAAAATTTTGCTTTTCTATTATGAATGTTATCCAAATCCATTCATTTCTTCTTTTCCTCCCCTCCCCTCCCCTTCTCTCCCCTCCCCTCCCTTACCTTTCCCTCTGTTCCCCTCCCCTCCCCTTCCTTCCTTCCTTCTTTCCTTCCTTCCTTCCTTCCTTCCTTCCTTCCTTCCTTCCTTCCTTCCTTCCTTCCCTCCCTCCTTCCTTTCTTCCTTTACATGTCCTTTACTTAATGCATTCAGACACCTATCTAGTTGTTGCTATTTTTTTTGACCATTCTATTAGGGTTTTTCTGAGACTTTATATACATCTTTGTTTGAAAGAGTTAAGTTTCAGGTAGATATACATATGTCTCGATTCCAAATTTATTATGTAGCTTTGGACAATTTGCATAAAATTTCTGAGCCTTAGTTTCTTTATCTATAAAATAGGAAATAATCTTAATCAAGAAAGTTTATGATGAGGGGCGCTTGGGTGGCTTAGTCGGTTAAGCGTCCGACTTTCGCTTAGGTCATGATCTCGCGGTTCGTGGGTTCGAGCCCCGCGTCGGGCTCTGTGCTGGCTGCCAGCTCAGAGCCTGGAGCCTATTTCAGAGTCTGTGTCTCCCTCTCTTTCTGACCCTCCCCTGCTCACACTGTCTCTCTCTCTCCTAGAAATAAATAAAAATATTCAAAAAAAAAAAGAAAGTTTATGATGAATTAACAAGAAAATATGTATGAAGTTGTAGTACCAAGAAAATATTCAATAAATGGAATATATTATCACTATTATTAACAGTAGCATTTTTATTATGTTGTAATATAATTGTCCATGGTTATCAACATTGAAATATGCCTTTTCCCAAATGACTTCCCAAATATTAGCCATTAAATTCATTTCTTTAACTTATAAAAAAATCTTAGAAATCTCGTCAAAATCTTAAGCCTGTATGGAGAATTTTGCATAAATTATGCTGAATACATCTCGAAGAAGTTAAGAATGCTGTCAAAAACCAGGGGTTGTAATTTTGTAAAATCAGGAAAAGTATCTAATATAACATGTAAAAATATTATTTGCTCAGCTAAAGAATTGCAGGAAATTTTAATATTAAGAATATTTTCTTTGATGATATTTGATTTCTCTTCCTTTCTACTCCACCAGGATCTTTTCTTAATTAAAATAACACAATCCAAATTATTATGGGAATTACATCACAGCTTATTTATATCCTTTTGCCATATTCATCCCTGTCATTTAGCCATTTTTCACTTTACATGACTGGATAATTATTGTCTAACCACAATTCAAATGGAGAAGTTTTAAAACTTGCTCTGCGTGACCTCAGTTATAATAGGTAATTGTGAATTTAATTGGCACAGGGCATTTTCTTTGACTATTAGCCAATTGTGTTCACTTAACTTGTACACAAAAGATTGGCAGTCTTCATCCTTGATTGTTTGTGAAATCTCAGGAACCTCTGTAGTTCTAAAAGCACCTTTTTCACAGATAAGCTCTTTTCACAGAAGCCATTCTGATTAAATATAACCTGTTTGCAGGAAAGAATTCACTCACTGTGTCTCCCACTGGAGGAATAGTTTTGCTGCAACACAAAACACAAGCTGAAGAAATGTGGATGGATGATTAAAAAGATTCAAAGGAGATGGAGGTGAGTTAAGAAATTGGGAGAATTACATCTCCAAGAAAAACACATAAGTCAAATACCCTCATTGAATCTCTAAGTAGGGAGACATCAAATTTTTCTCCATCCTCTATTAGGAACAAGAAGTCTGGGCTTCTTGACCTGACTACCTAAAGGACTACCTAAAGCTGAAGTTTCTTCAAGTTCAGATTTCTTATTTATACTATACTTTTTTTTCCAACTCATAAATTTAATTTTAAGTGATGATTATTGATCATATTAAGAACTTTTTAGTATTCCAGTATTCTACTACACTACTAGTTTAGAGGGCTGAAATGTTTGTTGTTACAGTTGTGATGTTGGTTCAGATCCTACAGAAAAGATTGCTTTAATTGGTTTGCTCTTTCACCAATCCTTTCTGCTTTCACTTCTGCCCTCCCCCCACCCATTGTTGAGACTCTCATCCCAGACTTCTCATTTGCATATTACCACTAAGCTTTACTAATTTTCTTGTCCCATTTAAACTCTCTTCTTTCAATGAAGAAGATTTTTTGTTATTGTTGTTGTTACTTTGGAAGGGGAATTGTTGAGCAGATCTGTTGGTCAGAGCAGAGAGATACCCCTGAAAAGATTCCAAAAATCTCCACAGAAAGTAAGCTAAATTTGGCAGAACAAGCATTTAAGCCAAATGGGTACAGTTGTTCTAAGGACCAAAGGACAAAGTGGCTCAAAGCCAAAAGAAATAGTAGAGTTATTAATGGTTAGTAATTATATTAAAATTTTAAAATATGTTAAGTATGTATCATAGATCAAGTTCTGCATAATATGGGTAATGAGTTTTTATTTTTATTTCAACCATATTAAACATAGTTTCATTGTTTTTCTTATTGTGAATTCTTTTAAAATGAAATACTGGCATTTATGACAATGTTTCAATATTACACATAATATATGCCAAATTACTCATGTTATCATTTCATCACATATTACTGTCTTTTCAGTAGATATATGCAATTTTGTCTTATTGGCTTTCAAATTGTATTGTCTTGTATAGATGTAATGTTTACCTTTTACTCAGAAGTCTGGTTCAGGTGTCTTTCATGAATGCAGATATTTAAATTATTTTGGACTGAAATACAAAAGTGTGCTTCTTTTAGGAATACTTGAACTTTAAATAAGGTTATTTCCAAAGGTCAAGGCTACTCATTTTCACTGAGTAGAAACCTTCCAATTTTCCATTAAATTTCATTTTGTAGGAAATAGTTGCTACCGGGTTTATACTTAAAAATGAGCTTATATTTTATTTAATAAGAGTTAACAATGATATTTCATCAAAGATCATTTTTGATTATCAATAAATTATTGTAATTAATTTTACTTCAGTAGACACCTATTGCTTACTTTTATAGAGCCTCTTTTATTTTACTGATAAAATCAGAAGCAAACATTCTTAGGACTCATTAAAGATAATCAAATCCCAACACATGGTATTTGTCCTAAAAGGATAGATTTCAAATGAGGAGCATTTGTTCTTTGTTGTTTTTCAGTAGCTAAAATGCTACCTTCTCCACCCTTCCAATCCATTTACCATCCCCATGGATGATTTCTTCAAATTCATGAAAAGCTATTTCCCATTAAAGAGGCTAATGGAAAGATCCTCATTGACTTTCCTAGCATACAACTTCTGTTTGCCTGTGCTATAGAATGAAAATGTACAACTGCTTTTAAAAAATGAACTTGAATCCTACAGAGGTTTATACACAGATACTTGGTGAATTGGCCTCGGGATAAAAGACTGAAAATGTTTTTAGGGAATTCTTTCCCAGAATAGTTACTTAAACGTTTACTTTCATCTGAGGTGCAGCTGGTCATAACAAAGGCAATTGCAGCCAAGCCT